CTCTGGTGCTGCTATGAATTAAGCCTCACCCCAGCCCCCCATATAAATGTACCTATCTGTTCATTCATTCAGTAACTGAGGGTTGACCACCCACCCATTTGCAAAACACTGTGTAGAGTGTGGATTTCAAGGGACTTCCCACCTGGCCCATCCATCCTTTCCAGACTCATCCTGGGCCCACTAGCCACTCCCTACCTGGGTCTGCCACTCGCCATTCCCAGAACACACCCTCCACCTTTGCCACCACCGTGCCTGCTGTCAGGCTTGCCTTTTCGTCCTGGCAAGATCCTTCTCCATCTTGCAGGCCCAGCTCTGATGCCACCTCTGAGCAGGATGAATTGTTCTCTCTCTGCGTCCCTGAGTGTTCCGTGTTCTGTCCGATGCTGGGTGAATGTCTCTCCTCCAGCTGTAAGCTCTGTGTGGGCACAGATGACCTCTGACCCAAGTAGGGTATAAAAGTGACACAAGGAGAGATCTTGTTCTTACCGGGCTTCAAGCCAAGAAGATCTGGTTTTTCTCCTCTCTGGATTGGTCAAGAAAAGACCATCTTGGCACATGGTCTCTGTGAGCTTAGGGAGTAAAAAGGAAATTTGTTGGGTGAAATAAACAAGATGTGTGATGTGAACCCGGGTGGGGGCCCCTGGTGAAATGCATGCTGGGTAGAGATAGGCTAGAGTGTTCAGGCCGATTGCGTTTGCGCCTGTGTGTCCCCTCTACCTCTGAATGATCAAGTGTTCCTGCACTGCTGCCCAGCCACCAGATCTCAGCCGGGCCTTGGTTGCCTTGACTGCAGTGCTGGACAGATGTGAAGGCACAGATAGGGCAGGTGGGATTAGCCGGGAAGGGTTCAGAGCAGGTGACTTGCCTTGGCAGTAAGTGAGTGGGAAAGTCACCGAGTTATAGTGGGGACAAAGGTGGGTTCTGTTGCTCTGACTTTAAAACCTGGCCAACAGCACAGTCACTTGAGAGGTTTACACAGATTTCCAGGTCCTACCTAAGGCCTAATGGGGCCGGTGATCACTTTTGGGGTCATGCCATTTGGCACAAAGCCACAGCAGTAGCCTGGCTCGGATTTAATTCTCTCTTTTTCTTTTTTTTTTTGGAGAGATTTTCACTGTAGGGCGCGTGCACTCGCCGGACAGACAGAGAGAGACATAGAGACAGAAAGCGAGAAATCACCCCCCAGGGGGGATGGTCACGCCGCAATCCCTTCTCCTCCATTCTCCTCTCGGGATCTTGGGCACGCACGCACACGCGCCCGGCGTGAGTTTTAAGCCACCGGGTCCGGGATGTGAACCGCGGTCGACTACGTGGGAGTCCAGCGACATAGACATTACACTAACTGCTGGTTCCCTCTCTTTTTCTTTTTGAGAGATTTTTGCTATAGGGCACTTGTGCTCGCTGGAAAGACGGAGTCAGAAAGCGAGAAATGACCTGCCGGGGTATTGCCATGCAGCAATCCCTTCTCTTTCATCCTCCTCTTGGGATTTTGGGCACACACACACATGCGGCCAGTGTGTTTCAAGCCTCTGAGTCCAGAATTTGAACCGTGGTCAGCCAAGTTAGGAGTCCAGTGATGCAACCATTATGCCACCTGCTGGTCCCTCGGATTTGGGTCTCACAAGGCTCCCCACTGAGGTAGCCTGGCTGGCAGAGGAAGCTCTGAGCTGTACCTCAGTCCATGCCTGTCGGGGTGGAGCACTGCTGGGTGCACAGATGGCTGGCCACGGGGAGTCCTTATGGGCTCTTCCTCTAGTGCCTCCCTGGACACAGAGGGAGGTGGAGCAGGAGGAAGGAACGCAGCCCCTTCATAGGACAGACCCTTGTGGGCTCTTGTTCATTCCGCCTAGTCCCTGGGTCTTTCCCAAGGCCTGAACCAGTGCAGAGGTCCAAGAACAGGACTAAAGTTGTCGTCATTCATTTTTATGCAGCTTTATTGAGAACTAATTGGCCTACAGTACCCTACATTATGTAAAGTGTACCATTCGATAAGTTTTACCAGATGTACACACCTTTGAAACCATCACCGTAGTCAGGATAATGATCATAATGATGACAAACATAATGAATTCCATAATAAATTAGAGAAGCATTCATAAAACAGTCTCAAATAATGCGGAAGGTCAAAGCCCTTCACTTCCTGAAGCCTAACCTTCAAGGTGGGGACTCTGAGTGCTTCCATTCACGCTTTCCATGTGCCTTTCTAGAAATTTTTCTGTGTTCACACAAGCATACATCTATTTTCTATTACTTATGTTTTATTCTTCCCACAAAGTTGACATTGCGCTCACCAAACTGCTTGACAATAGGCTCACTATTTATGTATTAAATTTAGTTTTTTGCTATAGGGCACATGTACTCTCTGGAGAGAGATAGACACAGAAAGGGGAAGTAAGAAATCACCCCCAGAGGGGTAGCCCGGCTGCAATCCCTTCTCCTCCATTCTCCTCTTGGATTTTGGGCACACACGCACATATGCCCAGCATGATTATCAAGTTGGTTGGTCTGGGGTTTGAACTGTGGTCGACCATGTGGGAGTCCAGAGACTTAACCATCATGCCATCTACTGGCCCTGACAGTAGGCTCTTTAAATTTGAGAAACTTATCTCTATTGATGAGCTTTTTTGCATAGATCTTCCTTATTACTTTGGTCAGTGGTATGGCCTTTGCCATGATTTATTTAACTGGGGACTGATCTTAAACAGGAACAAGACCTGGATCTGAGTTAAGAATGGAGAAGTGATGTCTTGAGTTGTCCTAGGCTAGAAGCTTGCTGTCTCCCAGATATGCCTGGTTTCCTCATCTGACTCCTTTACCTCCTTTTCTGGGTCAAAAATAAAAGTCTTGGGAGCAAGTAAAATCTACTCAAGGTACCTTTTGAGTATTACCCTAGGGGATCTGCTTTTCTGGGGGGGAGTGGGAGGAGGGAGTTCTGTACTTAAACAGAAGGAACGTGTGAGTTGATGTGGCCTACAGCCGACCCTCCTCTCTGCCTGCCCTTGTCTCCATAGCTTCTGAGTCCAGTGTCCACAGGGCTCAGTCCGTTTTATAATAATCACCTCCCTTTCTATTCATGTTTTAGTTGGTTAAATGTTATTGGCCTGTGCGCCTATTATTGTTATTATTTTTGAAAGATCAGAGAGATGGTTGATGAGTTTATGGGGTGTGCAGGGGAAGGCAAGTTGTGAGGTGAGCTCTGGGAGGGGCAAGAAGCAGCGACAGGCCACGGGCCCTGCCATCGTCTGGCTCTGCCCAGGCCACGGCGATTAGGAGGGCAGCTGGTGGGAGTCCGTCTGCTGCAGGCTCTGGGCAGGACCCAGAGGCAACATTTCTATTTCTAATGTAATTCGGGGAGCTGGTTTTTAATTTGGGCCCTGCCCTTCCTCACCCATCCAGATGGCAGAGTCAGCCACAGCTGCTGGGACTCCGGCTGCCAGTGGAGAGATGCGGGGGGCTGTGGGCACGGGGCCGGAGTCCCCACTGGGGAAGATGAGTGAGCTGTCTCCTGCCCTGCCCCTCCTGTCGACCCTATGTCCCTGAACAGACGGGGCTCCTGTCTGTGAACAGAGGCAGGCGTGCTGGTCTTAGAGAGGGGCTGGCCTTTCTTTGCCTTTTACCTTTTTTTTTTTTTTTGCCCGAGGCTGGGGAGAGGGAGCTCAGTGAGGAAGGAAGAGCTCACGTTTACGGCCGCTTTCTTTGGGTCAGGAGTTGGGCTTTGCTACATGATCTAATTTAATCCTCACCAGAAGCCTTGAGAGCTGGGTTTAGGATCTGCTTGGCAGTGGAGACAGACCTCCTAGGGAGGTAGTGCTGGAACTACTGCTGTTCCCTGCGGAAAATATTTGAAATGCTCAAGAATAGTCCTTTAAAAAAAATAAAATAAATAAATAAATAAAGCCAAAAACTGCTTGCTAAATTTTTCTGGTCAACCCAGGCTTTAAAATGAGATTTTTGTTTTTTGTTTTCTGGTTTTATTGGATGGATGATGTAATCTCTGGCTGGGAAGGGAGCATCTTGTCTGATGATGAGAACTGGGTGCTTGGAGGAGCCCCAGTTGGAGGGAAGGAGCCCTCGGTGTTCCTCCCATGTGCCCGGTCCCAGGTGCCCTGTCCGTCTGCGGCCTAGCTCGCTCCTATTCCACCAGGACTTCGTCTCTCCAGGCTCCTTCCTTTCTGATGTCCTTGCCCTCTGCCCCCCAGTTCTGTCCACTTCATCGCAGCACCCCTGTCTGTCACTAGCACTACTGACCCAGGTGTTTAGATCTCCACGTTCTCTTTGCAACTGGGGTGTGGGCTTCCAGCAGCAGGAAGAGCTTTTCTTTTTGTCATGTGGGCTGCTCCAGCCCTGACTCCTGACTTCGCATGCAGCGGCTGTGGGCTTCTTCCTCATCCTCCCCAGGCCAGCAAGGCCAGCGCTAGGAGCAGCTGAGCGCTCGGGGCAGAGCCAGAGCTTGGGAAGCTTCGCTGTGCAGTAGACAGGCCTTCCATTCTGTGTCCTGTCATTCCTGTCCTCTCAAGACCACTTCTCAGTGCTTTTTCCTAAGCAGGGCGGTCAGTAGGAGGATGGGGGGACCCGAATACACACACCTCCAGTACACACTGTCCACTGCTTCTTGCTTACAGGCCCAGGGGTTAGGAAGAGAAGACAAGGATGGCAGCCAGGCCAGCCAAGATGAGCTTCAGAGCAAGCAGTCCAAAGACTCGGAGAGGTACAGGACATGGGAGGCTGTCTGCAGGGACCCGAGGCCTGGTGTGCTGCCAGGGTGCCATGGCTGGGGCAGGTTCCTGGCTCGGGTGGTTGGCATGGCCCAGTGCTCATGCCTGAAGGCAGATGATGAGCTGGCTGATGGCCTCATGCAGTCATGTGTGTGTGTGTGTGTGTGTGTGTGTTTGTGTGTGTGTGCGTGCGTGTGCGTGAGAACTTCCTGATTCTGCACCGAGACAGGAATGTAAAGTGATGTTGGAGCTGCTTTGTGGGACTCCATGCACATCACACCATTGTGAGTCAAGGCCCTGTCTCTCTCACGGGATTGGCTTGATTAGGCTGTGGGTGTACCTGGTTATGGGCCAGGGCAGTAGCTGGCTGGAAGTCTGGGGGAGTCCTGCTGAGGGTGTCACTGCTGCGACTCGAAGCTCTGAGCCAGGGCCCTGCCACATCAGAAAGGGCTGTGGCTAACTTGGTGTGTGTTGGGGGGTAGAAAATGGGGCTCTCAGATTCTCAGGTCTGAGCCCATGATGAGGGCTGCCACCCTGGAAGGGGAAGGAGAGCCCAAGGTCCACCTTTTGGACCTTGAAAAGCTACCAGATACAGCTTCGTGCATTTTCTGTAGTCTGAGCACTTGAGTCTGGCTTCTTGTTTTCCCCCATTTTCTGTCTGATTCTTCCATCCCTCACTGGCCCCAGTGATGGCGACTGTGAGGTGGACATGCCCGTTGCGCATGCCCAGCTCTCACTCTTAGAGCAGGCGTACGCACTAGGCCGGGGATCCTGACTCTGCCCCAGGCAGAGAGGAGTACTTGGGGGCGGTCCTCCTGCTTCACACCCAGCTGCCCCTTGCAGATGGCCGTGGGCAGAGGGACCAGGTGGGAGGCTGGCCTGGGAGGAGGACTTGCCCTGGGTATGCAGCTGCACTCCACATTCTCTTCCTGCTCTCCGAACGGCGGATGGCGGGGCCTGACTGCTGCTCTGCCTGGCCCGACCAGGTTTTCTCCTCCACTTCTGCATGGGGAGCAGCTTCAGAGTCCCCTTCGCAGCCAGGCCACGGAAGGGTCTCCACAGGCCCCTGAGGGGCAGCCTGAGCAGAAAGAGACAGAGGAGCCTGGGGAGGACTCTGTAGCCAGCGCCTCCCCACTGGTTTCCCTCCAGAGGTAAGGATGAGGGTGAATGCCCTGGGCCCCTGGGCGGCACTGGCCCCTTTGCACAGCTGTTTGTGCACAGTGCTGAGAGAGGCACACTCTTAGAGCAGGCGTACGCACTAGGCCGGGGATCCTGACTCTGCCCCAGGCAGAGAGGAGTACTTGGGGGCGGTCCTCCTGCTTCACACCCAGCTGCCCCTTGCAGATGGCCGTGGGCAGAGGGACCAGGTGGGAGGCTGGCCTGGGAGGAGGACTTGCCCTGGGTATGCAGCTGCACTCCACATTCTCTTCCTGCTCTCCGAACGGCGGATGGCGGGGCCTGACTGCTGCTCTGCCTGGCCCGACCAGGTTTTCTCCTCCACTTCTGCATGGGGAGCAGCTTCAGAGTCCCCTTCGCAGCCAGGCCACGGAAGGGTCTCCACAGGCCCCTGAGGGGCAGCCTGAGCAGAAAGAGACAGAGGAGCCTGGGGAGGACTCTGTAGCCAGCGCCTCCCCACTGGTTTCCCTCCAGAGGTAAGGATGAGGGTGAATGCCCTGGGCCCCTGGGCGGCACTGGCCCCTTTGCACAGCTGTTTGTGCACAGTGCTGAGAGAGGCAGGGCAGGGCGGGCCTGGGGAGGGAGGAGAGAGCTGGAGTGGGTTTGCAGTGTAGGCAGCGGAGCAGAGACTCTGCTTAGTGTCCCTCAGGGGCTGGGGAATGAAGAAATCTGCTTCCTCCTAGTCCTTAGGCTACAATTGAAATTGGGATGCACAGTTGTTTTTTTTTTTCCCTTTTTGGAGAGGTTTTTGCTATAGGGCACGTGCCCTCGCCAGAAAGACAGAGACAGAGAGATAGAAAGCGAGAAATCATCCCCCAGTGGGGATGGCCATGCCACTATCCCTTCTCCTCCATTCTCCTCTTGGGATCTTGGGCACCCATGCACATGCACCCAGGGGTGCACAGTCTTGATAGGACAACTTAGAAACTCTTAAACAAGGAGGTATCTCTTTTGTCCCAGATGCCTCCCTGCCAGGGGCTGGGGCAGTCTCTGCTCTCACTCTGGCTGCTCTGTTCCTGCCAGGGGAGCCATTTCTCCAGCCCCCTCCCCACAAGCCTCCTCCCTCTAGTAGTCATTTAGCAAACCCAGCTGGAGCCCTGCTGTGGGCAAGGCCCAGGGAGAGGTTGGTACAGAGCCCAGGCCTCCCTGGGTCCAACTGAGAGGTATGTGCCTGCCTGGTCCAGTGCCTGGTCCAGTGCCTGGCATGCATCTGCTGGTTCTTCTGTCCCCCTGGCATGAGCAAGTCTCGCAGTTGGGATGAGTCGTGGGGAAGCTGAGCAACAGATCAGGCACCAGCATCCTCGGTGCTCCTGCTGTGTGCAGTCTCTGTAACTACCCTGCCTCCCACGGCAGGACGCAGGGAGGGAGAAGGAAGTTTGAGATCTGTGGGTGGGAACCATGTTGGGGCTCTTGTCCCGTTATAGGTCTCGACCCCAAATGGGGTGTGTCTTGAGTCTCGCCCTCCCACTGGCTTTAATGCTGTCATTTCCTTATTGTGATCAAGGGAGCAGGCCCCAAGCCCACCTGCCACCCAAGAGCCGGGCACGGAGCAGGGCTCCCAAGCAGAGGAGCTGAGCGTCGGGCAGGAAGAGGCTGCAGAGCCTGAGGAGGACACGGCAGTGAGCCTGACCCCGCCGGTCTCTCCACAGGTGTAAGGGCCAGTTTCCTGTGTCTGTCCCTGTCCTCCGGTTAAGTGTCCTGTCACTCTCGAGTGGTGGGGAGGGCATGCCCTGCTCTGGTGCCAGGGTGGAGAGTAGGGGAGAGTGAGTGTACCCTTGTGCTCTGTGTGTGACCTCGACAGCCCTTACAGCTGTCACTGGTCCCTGACTGGGATTGGCTTAGGTCCCCTGGCCTCCTGGTCAGGACCTGAGGTTTGAGGGTGGGTGAGCGGGTGTTTCCTGGTTCATGAGCAGAACCCACCAGCTCACGTTCTCCCTTCCTAGCACCAAGCATCATTTTTCTCTTAAATTCTTAACCAAGTTTCTCATATACGGGAATCTAAAGTGGGCAGTTGGGTGAAGGTTTGCATATGTGCACAGCATGTCACGGGACTCCAAGCAGACCCTGTGTTCCCATCCTTCGAGGACACGTCCTCGGGCCCCTCTCGGTCCATACCCCAGGTCTCCACTGTTCTGGTTTCTGTCCTGTAGGTCTGTTCATCTGGTTCTTCATCTTCCTGTTAATGGAATTACACAGCCTGTAGGTCTCTCTTTTGTGCCCGGGTTCAAAGCTCAATGAGGTTTTGTGATTCACCTGTGTTGTTGAACCCAGGACTTCTAAAATTTAGAGATCATTGAGCGTTTCTTCTCCATCCCCACCCCTGTCTCTCGCACTCTTTTTTTTTTTTTGATAAAAACACAAGACTTGGAGAGGTGAAGGGGTTTGCCCGAGGTCACATCATGAGTCAGGTACAGACTTAGGACAAACCTCGCGTCACTAGAGCCTAGACTCGGAACTTAGCCTCTGCGGTGTGCTCCTCTCTACGTGGAGAAAGGGCGCTGGGATTTATGCAGTGCTCCCTCTGTGCTCCGGGCCGGAGCAGGGACATTGTAGCTGTCGTGGAGTGAGGCATGTTTGTCACTGATCACTCCCAGGAGGTGTCATCGAGAGCTGGCCAGCACGCGAACTCACGGTCCCATGTCATTGCCTTCGCGTTGCGGGGTGATGTAGAGATGGGGTGGCTATGTTTTTCACGTGGTGACACACACTGCAGTAAAAGCTGTGGTCCTAAGGAATTAGGTGAGTTTCCTGGGTCTCCTTGGTGGCTTTCTACGAGGAGATCAATGCAGAGGTCAGAGGGGCGTCTTCCTAGGACCTCCGCAGGGAAGTCTGGTCAGTGAGGCCCAGGCTGGGGCTCAGGTTCTCCCGGCTCCTCCCTGTTGCCTTAGTTTGTGCCCCTCCCCTTTCCAGTGAGGCCGTCCCTGCTGGGGTCTCAGAGGCACCTTATCTAACCATGCAGTTTCAGTTTGCGCCAACCCTTAGGAAAATACCTCCTGTTACTTTCCAGAGCCTTTCAGGCCCCATAACTTCCTTGTGATTAGACTCTATAGCTACGTTAGCCCTGGTTGGTTTGTTGACTTTTGTGGGCTGTTGTTCTGTGCCTGTCAGCTTCCAGAGATGTCCAGCTGAGGCAGAGGGCTGGGAGCAGAGGGCAGGCTGGAACGTGGGCTGGACTGGGCTGGGCTGTGGCACTGCCACTGCGTGGCCTTTGTGGCCAGAAGGCCAGGGCTGGGAAACAGGACTGTCCTTCCTTTTGTCCTCCCAACATCTCTCACAAAGACTGGCAGAGAGACGGTAAATGAACCCAACGCACCAGCTGAACGAGAGGAGATAAGCTCTCTTTGATTCTGATTCCAGCTTTGGCGGTTCCACAACCATTTTAGAATGTTCTCGGGGTACCATTTCCCCCTCAAGTCCTTTCTCTCCTTGTATGGCCCCCTTTTTTTTTTCCCTAATGTCTCCGAGCTCCCTGGTGGCCAACCCAACATGACTGCTCCTCCGGACCTCAACTTTGCCGCTCATCGTTGGAAACTGGGTCTCTCTAGAAGTCAGACCTCCTTTTCCTCCGGAGTCTCCCACTTCCCGATCATCTCAAGGCATTGTTTACTGCCTTGGACCTGAGCTAGGAGTTCAGGATACTAGATCTCTGGAACTGGGGAGGGAGGAGAGGCCTGTGGAAAAACAGCCCCGTTTGCCTGCGTGCCAGGTGTACGAGCACGCTTACTGGCGCTTGCAGCCTGGGCACACGCCGCCGCGGTCTGACGCCTCGTCTTCCCACAGCATCTGTCCCTGGGGCTCTCCATAGCTATGCAGCACACAGGGGAGAGACATTAAAAGGTACCATCTCAGGGAAAAAAGACGTTTTCAGCCAAGGTTGGAAATGAGCTGGAGGGTTGATGAGGCGGAGAGCGGTGGGGGGGGGGGGGGGGGGGG